AGAGAGAGAGAGAGAGAGGAGAGAGAGACCTCAATATAGAGAGAGACCTCATATATAGAGACCTATATATAGAGACCTATATATAGAGAGGGACCTCAATCAGATTAGATCAGATATCACTTCTTTTGTTTCTCAGAGAAACTTTTACAAACGACGTGCCCACTTGAAAGCAACCCTATCCACCACCTGATCTTTCAAAACCAAATAGCGGTGAATGAAGCCTGTCGGGATCTCCGACGTCTGGAGTGATTTCTTTACCGCAGATGAGCAAAATAATTTGAGGGGAAAATATTCTGGTTAACAAGAGTGATATATATATTATATATATATATATATATATATATATATATATATATATATATATATATAGCACGGTTAACACCACAGCGACGCAATGAGCCGTGTACACACACACACACACACGCACATATATATATATATATATATATATATATATATATAATATATCACTCTTGTTAACCAGAATATTTTCCCCTTAACTTATTTTTGCTCGTCTGCAGTAAAGAAATCACTCCAGACGTCGGAGATCCCGACAGGCTTCATTCACTGCTATTTGGTTTTGAAAGATCAAGTGATGGATAGGGTTGCTTTCAAGTGGGCACGTCGTTTGTAAAAGTTTCTCTGAGAAACAAAAGAAGTGATATCTGATCTGATTTGATTGAGGTCTCTCTCTCTCTCTCTCTCTCTCTCTCTCTCTCCTCTCTCTCTCTCTCTCTCTCTCTCTCCTCTCTCTCTCTCTCTCTCTCTCTCTCTCTCTCTCTCTCTCTCTCTCTCTCTCTCTCTCTCTCTCTCTCTCTCTCTCTCTATCTCTATCTCTGCACACACGTGCGTGCGCGGGCGCGTGTGGATGTACGTGAGCGTGCACGCGTGCGTGCGTGCGTGCGTACGTGCGTGCGTGCGCGCGTGCGTGCGTGTGTAAATACTTAGTTTACGGATTTAATACACCTGGGATGAGGGATTATTTGGTTTGTGGGGGCATTCCGCATTCCAACAACCTGAATGGAGGCAAAATCGCATTGGAGCGTTCTTTTGCGATCTTACCTCGAGCGCCGGTCGATTGGTTTCACGGGTACGTTATTTTTAAGGACCCGCATCCCACCAATATTACATTTGCAGTATGCATACTCGGAGTATGGAAGTGGGCGGAGCCTATTCTGGTTCGGAAAGCTCCCAGGTGTTGAATGTGCCCACATACCAAGGATGACAAATAAATACAAATATTCGTCAGCTGAGTGTGTGCCAACGTTAAAGAGCGGAAAATCTATCCAGTGAATTGGCCTGTGGTCACGTAATTGGCGTAATTGGCGTAATTCAGAAGCAGCGTCAGAATTCGTGGTTCCTAGCAGGTCGAAAACCTAGATGATATCGCGCCCATGACCTGCTGAGTGTTTTTGATCATGCTGATGTTCCTGGGGACGTCGACAACCATGTGAAACACTTAACCGTGTCTACGTGTATGGTGATATGAGACTGATGACTGCTGTAACGCTCATTATGTCGCGGGCCGGAGCCAATTGACGGCCGTTATATCTGAAAATCGTGCTCACGAACACTAGATATGAACAACTCGAGATCGCCGCATGACCAATAGGATGGGAAGACTTGAGTGGCCATATTTTGTGCATTAGTTATGACTGAATGACGTTGAGTGAAATACTCTGCACGAAATAGTCTGCACATGTTCGCGGGCGTGCAGCTCGGAAATTAGAGGAGTTTAGGTCTTCAGAGCGGCCGGGCTATGAACTTCAGCGTATGACCTTTGATGTGGCTATCTCGGCCCAGCAACACACACAAATGTAAAACACTCCCTTTAATGCACCTTAGCGTTTGATTATCACGGTTCACATTGGCACCATTTTCCACATGAGGGGATTTTGATCAGTATGCTGTTTTTTTCTGACGCTTCTTTGATGTCTCTCTTTGATGGAAGAATTTTCATCATGAATCATGATTGCCCGCACGGGTCAAATCAACATCTGCATCGCGGCAAGGGGAAGAATCGTTATTAGCTGTACGAATTAGAACAAACGTTTCTGCTAAGAATGGCAGGATTTGTTGCTGAGATTATAATGTCATCCGGTTAAGCAAAAAAACCTTTGAAATGATCCATCCGAAACACGGATAGAACATGGAGTTCAAGTTTGACAATAGTTTCGTACTGTGTCGAAACGTTAAACGCGTGTTTTGGAGTCGAAAATAATCACGTTCATTGCCGAGGTACATCTTGTCGGTGCTGCAGCGGCGATCTCAGTGCATAACTAGACATAACTGGTTCTGAGGTTTCATCAGAGTATGTTTTTGAAATATTCCCTAAATGTAGCGCACTCTCTTCAATCAGTCTCTCGCCATTACATTGGTAAGATAATCTGAACGTTGCGCGTGCTGTGTCTTTTACATTTCTTTCAGAATGGCGTTGTCATCACTATGCCCCACTCGTTTGCATTTGTTAATGAATGACGCAAAGCTGAATAACCTGACACCGGCTGCCCGGTAATATAGAGCGTGCGCATTCCGCGGTATTACCTAAAATTTATGGCGGAGGGAGTTGGCGATAATCCGACGACGTATTTACGTCGTGCAATGTGAAACCGTTACATTTTACCTCACATAGATTTGTAACAAGGGTAGAGCAAATAACGTCAACCAAAACGGTTGAAAATAGAGGAAAGGACACGGTGATGCAATTGGTGTCGCAAATTTAAATGCACACGACGATGTAAGCCTCGCCACGTCAAAAGCACGCCACTTCGCCGCGTCAAAACGTTCAGATATATTTTCAACACTTTCTTGAACGTGTCATGGGAACAGGGAACCGCATACCTGTCACTGTGTGATTGTCATCTAATTCCCAGTCGGAACGTGCCAATTTCGCGTCGCTCCGGCTAACGGTCACTGAGAGGTGCCAAGGTTATCCAAAGAGCTAGAACCGTTCAGTTTAAAAAAGTGGCAACACCGAGCTTGCGTGAGAATATAGGTAGTATGGAAGCAAAGGTTGCATGACGTCATGCCGACACCATGACGCCATGCCGAGGAAACTGCTCATTTAGTCAGCTGACTGCTACGCAACCCATTAGTCTGAATGGTGGGAATGTTTTGGTTACAATTCCGATAATTATAAAAATTATCACTCAGTATTTTACCGCTTGAGCTAAATTAATGCTACCAATCGTTGAGGAAGAAATTAACAGGGAATCCCTTGGAAAAGACGTAGTCATGACAACTCAACACCATGGAACACCCAGCAACCGCGATGCACAATGCGCTACAAGCGCTGCATGACATATAACACCGAGCTGCGTGTGCCCCATGGAAAAACGTAAACTCTGATGAGGCTTAACTGTTCCAAGATTCAACCTGCCTTCCAGACGTGTCCGCATACCAAAACTGTGAACCATTTACTCAGAATCCAACCGGGAACCGCTGCTCGCACTCCACCAAAAACACAGCCACCACTCAAACTAATGGGCGGTACAGCAGTCAGCTGACTAAATGAGCAGTTTCCTTTCCACTGATGTCGTCAAATATGGTGTACGTGACGTCACGCAAGCTTTGTGTCCAGACTACCTCTTTCCCAACCAGCTCGACGTTGCCACTTTTTGATAGCGTTTAACGATGCAAATAACATTCCTCGGATGTGACCACGGAATCGGATGGCTGCCCGTCCGTTTCGCGCCTGTTACATTCTCATGCCGCCCATGCAAAACCAATGAGT